TATTTAAATTAAAATTATTTTTAAATGACAAAATATGTACAAAAAACGTGTACAGTTGGTTTCGGTCCAAATAGATAAGTCAGTTAGATAGGATTGACTTCGGGTAAGCTAGTCAGTACTAACTAAATGGGTGCTATAGGTAAACAGATTTATTTCCTGTGAATTTTAGGGTTTTCTTGCCCTAAACGAGATGCAATATATATCTTCCATATAGCAGCATATACATAAATATATATTTATTGTCTTTGGCTGATTTGATGTTCAAATAATTAAAAGAAGGAAATATTATTTTAACAAATCGAAACTTTCTTTAATTTAATTGTTGGTCATATCAAGCATATTCTACATTATATGTTTACCATCTTGGACTGGATTAAGTGGTCAAATAATTTAAATAAGGAAATATTACTTTAACAAATTAAAACTTCCTTAAATTTAATTATCGACCGTATCAAATATATTCTACATTATTCTTACCAAGTAAAACTACCATATTTTAGGTAAGACACGTTCATGCCTTGGAGGATTCTTTACATAAGTAAAGAAGATCATTAAGGGAAGGATATACTTTCAGAAAAATCTATCGACATATATTTTAATAGGTAAATGAAAATTTATTAATTCTTCCCCGCTACGCCCTACTCGTGTCCCTATTTTCAAAATTCTTGATTGGACGTAGATGATAATGTTCAATTGAGTCTTGCCCTAACTCATTGAGCACTACATTAGTGTTACCAAAAGCAAACACCAACTCTTATTTTGATCGAAACTAGGAATGTTAGTAGATTGTAGTGTAGGCCATAAAAAGAAATATTACTATTCATATATGTGAGTAAGTAAAATATATTTTGGATTTTTACTTATTGTTTATTTATTGGCTTATTTAAATTTAAATTATTTTTAAATGACAAAATATGTACAAAAAACGTGTACAGTTGGTTTCGGTCCAAATAGATAAGTCAGTTAGTTAGGATTGATTTCAGGTAAGCCAGTCGGTCCTGACTAACTGAGTGCTACAGATAAACATATTTATTTCCTGTGAATTTTAGAGTTTTCTTGCCCTAAACAAGATGCAATATATATCTTCCATATAGTAGCATATGTATAAATATATATTTACTATCTTTGACTGATTTGATGGTCAAATAATTAAAAGAAGGAAATATTATTTTAACAAATCGAAACTTTCCTTAATTTAATTATTGGTCATATCAAACATATTGACGCCGGGCAGAATAGTGA